CGCCCGCCCGGCCCGACCCGCCCGTCAGGGCCCGCCCGACCCGACCCGACCCGCCGCTGGGGTCCGCCCCGCCCGAACCGACCCGCCAGCTAGGGTCCGCCCGACCCGACCCGACCCGACCCGCCCGCCCCGACCCGCCCGTTTACCCGTTAGGTTATTGCGCGCGTGCCACTTCGATGCCGCATCATATTCATACTTTAATGTTCCCGCCCGCCCGACCCGACCCGCCCGTTTTAGGGTTAGGTCCGCCCGGCCCGACCGCCAGCGCCAGGGTCCGCCAGCCCGGACCCGACCCGACCCGCCCGACACGACCCGCCCGCCAGGGTCCGCCCGCCCGACCCGACCAGACCCGCCCGACCCGACTCGCCCGTTCAGTTATTCGCGCGTGCCCCTTCGATGATGCATCATACTTTAATGTCCCGCCCGCCCGACCCGACCCGCCCGTTCGTTAGGGCCCGCACGGCCCGGGGCCCGACCCGCCCGTTGGGGTCCGCCCGCCCGACCCGGACCCGACCCGCCCGACCCGACCCGCCCGTTTCCGAATATTGCGCGCGTGCCACTTCGATGAGATCATACTTTAATGTCCCGCCCACCCGACCCGACCCGCCCGTGGGGCCCGCCCGCTCGACCCCCGCCCGCTAGGGTCCGCCCGCCCGACCCGACCGACCCGCCCGCCCCGACCCGCCCGTTAGGGTATTGCGCGCGTGCCACTTCGATGATGCATCATACTTTAATGTCCCGCCCGCCCGACTCGACCCGCCCGTTGGGGTCCGCCCGACCCGACCCGACCCGCCCGCGAGGGTCCGCCCGCCCGACCTGGCCCGCCCGCGGGCCCGACGCGACCCGCCCGAACCGCCCGTTAGGGTATTGCGCGCGTGCCTTTTCGATGATGCTTTCGTTTTCGATGATGCTCATACTTTAATGTCCCGGGTCCGCCCGACCCGACCCGACCCGCCCGTTAGGGTCCGCCCGCCCGACCTGACCCGCCCGCGGGCCCGACGCGACCCGCCCGAACCGCACGTTAGGGCATTGCGCGCGTGCCTTTTCGATGATGCATCATACTTTAAAGTCCCGCCCTCCCGGCCCGACCCGCCCGTTAGGGTCCGACCGCCCGACCCGACCCGCCCGACCCGACCCGCCCGTTGTCGTCTTCGTCGTCGCCATTGCTGGAGTCTTCGTCGTGCTCGTCGTCGTTTGCGTCGCGGTTATCGCGGTCGTCGTAGTGGTCGTCCTTCTCAGGTGTGCAAGCGGCTGCGCGAGGAGGGGCCCGAGCAGGCCAGCGCGGGGGCACTCGCGGCGAACGCCCTCGCGACAGTTCCACCAGTCGACGTTGCCCAAGTCCCCACCGCCCCGACGCTGCGGCGAGCTTGCTGGCGGTGCAGGCACAAGCGCCTCGACGCGCAGCTCATGCAGGGGGCTGACCCCGACGTCGAGCTCGACTTCTCCTCTGTGGAGACTCTCTCACCTGTGCCCGCTCTCAAGAAGATCGGGGACCAGGACTTCCTCTTGTACGACAGCGGCGTCACGAGGGAATCCCACAGGATCCTCTGTTACGGGACGAAGGACAACGTGGAGTTCTTGAACAACTGCAGTCTGTGGCTCGCGGATGGCACCTTCCGCATCGCACCGGAGCCCCTCCGCCAGGTGCACGCAGTCCACGGGTACGACCGCGGCTACACGCTGCCTGGCCTCTACTTCCTCCTCACAGACAAGTCGGAGAAGACCTACAAGCACGTCTGGGACCAAGTGTTCCTCATGCTTCCTGACGGCCCAGAGCCCGAGGTGTCTCTGCTCGTCGACTACGAGCAGGCCGCCTTCAAGGCTGCCGAGAAGTCCTTCCTCGACATCAACGTGGGGGGGTGCTGGATGCACTTCGCCGGGGCCTTGTGGAAGCACGTCCAGAGCCTCGGCCTGGCCGGGCGCTTCCGCGACGACCGCGACTTCCGCTTCCGCGCGCGGCCCTCGGCAGATCCCCCCCGTGCGCCGCGGCGTCCGCGCCCCTCCGCCGCAGCCGAACACCCGATCTGTAGCCCCTCCTCCACGCAGCTTTCGCTCTCCCTCTCTCTCTCTCTCTCTCTCTCGTTCTGTGTGTCTCTCCTTCTTTTTATATTCCCCTCTCCTCGTTTTCTCGCGTCTGTCCTTGCTACAGTGCTTAGGTTAAGAAGCTGCAGTGCCTGGCGTTCCTGCCGCCAGACGCCGTGGCGGACCACTTCGAAACCCTGGCCCACGAGCCGCGGGCTCGGCGGCCTCCCTGCTGGCCACGCGCGGCGCCAACGACGCCATGCCTGCCGCCCCTCCGGCGACGTTTGTCCGCCTTCTTCCCCCTGCTGCCCCGATCCTCGGCGTTTTTTTCTGCGTGCCCCCCCCCTTCCTCCCTTTTTCTTTCCGGAGTCGTCCGCGGCCCCCCTTGCGATCCCAACCTTGTGCTTCCTCGCGCCAAGGTTCCAAGACGCCGAGACCCCCTTCCTCAAGTGCTTCGAGCAAGCTTGGATCGGCGAGC